AAGTACACACATACTTGTACCAGCTTAGCTCCATTCACAGCCTTAGCGGCTTTGCGCAGTCGTACGCGATGTACACCTTGTATCTTGCGCTTCTTGGCTATCTTTTCTCCACTTGCCGTCGCACCTGTCGCCGACTCTAACTCATTCGCATCATTGGTTGTATCGTCTACCACAGCAGCAATGTCCGCTTTATCATCCATATTACTAGTAGCATGTGTTGTATCATCTGACTCACTCATGTCATTGGTTGCATTACCTACCTCAGTAGTAACGTTCTCTGTACCATCCATGCCTCTAGCAGCATCAGCGATATCCTCTAATTCAACAGGAATGTCCTCTATATCATCCATATCACTAGCTGGATGTGCTTCACTGCCTATCTCACTATCAATTTGCGCTGACTCTGATACCTCGCCCTCACTGGCATCGGTTGCTGTGCCATCCCCATCACCCGCGACGCTATCTATATCAGCCAGTTCGCTACCCCTGCTGTCCAACCCACTCACATCGGCCGCGTCGCCTATCTCACTATCCAAATTTTCTGTATCATCTATCTGACTACCGGTATTCTCGGTATCCTCCATATCACCTGTATTACGTGCTGTATCATCTGCCTCGACTTTATCTACCTCAGGTGCTATATAGTCACCGGCATATTCCTTTAGGGCAACGCTCTTAACATTGCTTGCATGAACCTCTGGCTCAGCCATCTCTACATCTCCATGTTCAGCAGGGGCTGTAGAAGTTTTGGCCCTGGCAATACTACAAGCAGATTTTGATTCATTTGCCCTTCTACTCTGTCTTGTCTTCCTCTGCGGGGCACCTGCGCCTTTTTGCACTACGTCTGTGACGGTTTGTCGTACTCTTGTATGACTCTGTCGTACTTCTGTGTTCACTTCTAGCCCATGCATCTCCACATCTCCATCCGTATCTGTACTCACACGTGGTTTGTCAGCAGTTCCTTCAATTACTTGTGAGTCGTCTTCCGTCTTCAAATCCGGATTCACATCATCCATTTGCATCGAATTTTTGTTATCCGAGCCAATTAACTCATTCTGATAGCCCGAACATCCTGAGCCCAAACCAGCCAATACATACTCTGCGTGTTCCAATTTGGGGCTGAGTTTGATACCTACATATTGTTCAATTTTGGGACTCACTTTCTCATCCACCGACATTTGTGTACTGCTATTCGGCTGCTCGTCTACCGACTGCTCCACCTTAATGGCTGACTCACCGTCTACAGATCGTACTCTCTCATGAATCGACACCTCTTTAGCCGACAAGTTTTCCTCCTTCATCACATGTTCGTTACTATCATCGCGGGAGCTCCCTAGCTTTGCCACCGAGCTATTGTCACTATGTGACGCAGAATTCGAACACATTCCTGGCCTACCAACAATTCCTTCCATGCAATCCACATGACCTGTAGACACCCCCCCCTTGTCAGGTGACTGCGCTGAAGTGAAGGTATGTATCTTCCTCAGCGCCCGCAGCATTGTATTGGCAGACACATCGATGATAGACTCGCCTACCATGCAGTCACCTCCCTCACATTCCTCTTTGATTGACCCTCCCTGTACCACTGATAATGTGGTGTCAGCTATGCCGCCTGTAGCGCAAAGTACCACACTTCCACCTGATGATACACTGCACACGGGCTTCTGCGGTGACAAAACAATTACACTGTCATCGGCATTGTTTCCTCCAGTTGTATCACTATTACCTATCGGTGTGCCACTCTGAACACAAAGTACTGGACTATCATCCATCAAGACTTTAGGTATTGATCGTGATGGAGATAACATGATCACGCTTGTATCAGCATCTGCATTATCATAGATTGGAACTGGCGACGACGTCTCTGCTGTGTGTTTCCGGGTCACCCCACCTACCTCTGTCGTGCCATGATCAGGGGATGCCACTACATGCTTCCAGCTCTGTGTGGGAAGTTCCCTCAGATCACGATCAACACTCACTTTGCTTTCTGACTGTGTGCATATGTCTATGTTCGTACAACTGCTAGACCTTTGCGGCGAAAACATAATCAAAGACGCTTGTAGGTCACTATCGTCGACCTCCATATCTTCTAAAGATGCACCACGAGCTTTAACACAGGCACTCGAACCTATACCGGTATTGACGTTCACATCTCTAGGCAACACCTTTGAATGTATCTCATTTACAGTCTGCTCAGTCATATTATCTATATCAGTAGGTGCAGATGATTTCGTATTAATTTGCACTGATGTGTTCACTATCTCATCTTTGTGGGCTTTTGACACAGTAAGGACTTGTTGAACTATATTCGTATCGATACTGGCTGATATTGCGTGCTGTATGAGAAGGTACCGATGAGCCCCATGGTACTACCGTAACATACCAGATATATCTTATAATACACGAAGCTGATAGTGCACCGAATTGGTTGACGGCCGCTCGTGCCTCTCTACGCCGAATACTGCATACAACTATCTCGTACACAAATATAAGCACATATATATATATATATATATATACATATACATCTGCATGTGCACTTGTCTCGCTTAACAGTATACACCCTGTCTGTACAGCCTTCACCTATATACATCCTACGCTAGTACAATACGCACATGTAGGAATACGCTATGTATGAAAGTAAGAACTTTTTGTTTAAAGCCTGCTGCTGCGAGCAGCATATTACGTGTAGGTCGAAAAGTGGAAACCCGCCAATTTTTCCTAAAGGGTCTGTATGGCAAATATTTCCAAAAGTGCCCTGAAATTAAGGACCAAAAATTAACAATTAGGGACATAATTCAGGGTAACATACATTCTCGCAATATTTATTAGTTGCTTGTTTTTCTCATTTTTTTTTCTCGTAAAGTTTGACATTTCAACTAAAACTTATATTTTAGAAACAATTCCCGCCGATTTTAAATCAGGAACGTACCGAACTTAATACGTGTACGAACTGAATTCTTGAACCGGCATGTTGAAACTTGTGAGAATAAAATGATGAACATACATACCCACATAAATCTTCAAAAAAAAGATTTATGTGGGATACACAAAGCGAATGGAATCAGCACGTTCATTGCTGAGATATCTCCGCTTGATATTGTGACCCAGCAAACAAAGACAAACACACCCATTTGGTGGTCAACGTTTGGTATTGTGTGCGTGTCGTTAGGCTTCACTTATCGATTTTAACGTGAGCTACCAGCACTAATTTTTGCATGCTCGTACATGTGTAGAATAATCGTATCCGCATATTTTTGATAGTAGGTCCAATACAGTACAAACCTCAGTAGATTTCTGTACGACACTCCAGTGCAAAAATGGGAGTTCCAGCATTCTTCCGATGGTTGTCTAACAAGTACGAAAAGATCGTCGTTCCTGCTCAGGAGGTAAGGGTGTGTATATGTAAGAATATTGACAGAAGTATAAGATTGTATTCACATTTTAAATGTATATTAACAGGCACATGCTATTTCATACTTACCCTATACCTGTAATGGTGTACATGTGCTACAGTGTTACAGACTTGTGCAAACCTTGTTTGCAAATCATATAAACATGACTTCATAAAATACCTTTCGCACCTTACACAAACCGATTTGATTTGATCTGAATAGAGGCTCAGACGCACACAACACAACACAATCTGTACGGAATCTAAACTATAACTCACGTCATGGACCCAATTCGTTATGTTCAAAGTAGTTATCATATTGTGTGATTGTTTCGAATTGACTATTATTGCAATACAATGAATTCAAACAGTTGTTCAGCGTACGCACAACACAATTTGAACCGATTTATGAGCTATGACTCAAGATATGTCTCCGCATCCGTGGTGGTTATCTATAGTAATTGTTAAATGACGCGATAGTTCTTCAAAGACTGGTTTATTTGATTACCTGAACTGATTCTGAACTTTGATTTAAGTCTTGTACCCACACTTTGTGACGTATCATATCGCTAGATATATTGCATGATAGTTTGACTATGACCAACATATAATGCGGTCTGGCTAAGATCATCAAATATTATAATTGCGCATGCGATATTTCCTTGGCTTCCGATACACTTCGGTTGTTTCTTGTGCTACTTCGCCGGATTTTCCATTGTTTTGGCAACAGTTTCGCGAAGGTGCTATATCTTTGATTCGTTTTAATACTAGTTGACATGTGTGTCACTTCATAGTAGCTCATGAGGGTTTTATCAGCGCGGTAAGATTGCTATACACATCATCTTGTTCTTGTTAGATGCGAATCTTTCTTGTCAAGCCCCACTTGCCCATGAAGTGAACTACAGTTAGAAAATAATTAGATGCGACTGTGGACAATGTATCGCAAATACATATATAGTGCTCTACAGTTAGATATATATTTAGATGTGTATGTACCTGCGTTGTGCTCTATAGTTAGATATATAATAAGGTGTGCCTGTAGACATCGTATCTCCAATACTTATGTAGTATTCTACAGTTGGATATTCAGATGTGTACGCACCTTAGTGCTGTACAGTTAGATATATAATGTGGCAGACATCGCATCTCAGTACCTATGTAATACTCTACTGTTGAATATTCAGATGTGTATGAACCTGCGTAGTTCTCTACAGTTGGATATAGAATTAGGTGTGCCTGTAGACATCGTATGTTCAATTTCTAAGTATTATTCTAGTTGTATATATGTTTAGATGATGTACCTGTGTAGTACTCTACAGTTCGATATATATAAGATATCTCTGCACCTTTGTAGTGCTCTACAGTTCGGTACATGTCAAATATGTACCTGTGGAGTGCTCTATATTTGGGATATATATCGAGATACGGCCAAGTGTTTAACTCTCCGATCTATGATGAACTGGCAAAACACATATAGAGCTATCAACCAGTCCACCATTATCTTAGCCGAGAGCACAATATTGGCTGCTTGCTACACATCCTTGGTTTATAAAGTGAGCATAATCTGTTATAAGATATGCTCATCGTTTGCTTAGCGGTGGTGACAGGGTTGTTTCGCTTCTCAAGTATCCGAGATACACGCTCTCGAATCAAAGTTTCATTAGCTCATGATATTATATGTGCGTGGTAAATTATTCATCTGTATGTCAATATCCCTTTGTGTTCATCTGTACTTTCAGCGTGGTTGTTTGATGTACAAATGAGAAATGACTGGACCCATAGTGTACTTCGCAAACTCCCTGTGCTCGGACACGTACTCATACTCGAGCATATGCTTGTACGATCTTAAGTACTCACTTTTACACACACATCAAGAAAGGCCTTATAATGGAAGTTCACCTGTACACACGCGTGCAAGTACACACACATACACAAACATAAAAATACTTGCACGTATTTGTACACACATGCACGTATACATGCAAACCAGTTTCATTTGTATTGTTCACGCAGATTGAAGGTGAAACAGTCGATGGCGAAAAGATCCCCGTGGACCAGACGCTACCAAATCCCAACGGCATTGAATATGACAATCTTTATCTGGATATGAATGGTATCATTCACCCCTGTTGCCACCCCGAGGATCGGTATGTGATACGAGTCTATCAAGTGATTATATGTAATATCCTGTACGTTCTCATATACTCTTAAAGGGATCAAGAGGCGATAGGCATCAAGTGTTGTGGCGGGAATTGGAGTCCTTATCTCATAAACGAGACAAAGATCACACCAATCTTCGAGTGTATCGAATAGATTCAAATGCTTATATATATATATATATATATATATATAATAATGGATACATACATTTGTTTTTGTTAATTTTTCAACCCACCCCCACAAGCAAGGCCAGATCTGACTTTAATCGCTGAGTACTCGTACACTTACAATGTATCTGGACTTTGTACATTAACTTCTGCATGAAATCTCATGTATACATACATAAGTATTTCTTCTTTCCCGGCCATCCACAGCCCCGCCCTTACCAGCGAGTATGAGATATGGCTTAATTCTTTGAGCACTCGTACACCTATGTATAGGTATCTCGATTCATACATATATATATATATATATATATATATATATATATATATATATATATATATATATATATATGTGTGTGTCAGCATGCCACTTCTCTCATATATACACACATACATACTACTCCCATTCCGGCCATCCACGGGCACACCCCACAAGCGAGAACGAGATATAACTGTGATTCCAATGTACTCTTTCACGTAAAAATATACTCAGATATCGTACATTCAAGCCCGTATGCCGCTTTCATTATCTCATCTATATATATATATATATATATATATACTGCCTCCTTGTATCTCTGAGGTTCAACTCTACAGCACCACCCCCACAGCCGAGGATGAGATTTGCCTGTAATTCCTATGTTTGTATCCACATACATATATACACGTGCATTGTACATTCAAGCTTGCATGCCGTTAACCTTATCTTATACACTTACGTATACTCCGTCCCTATACTGCTGGGGATCACCTCAATAGTTCCACCCCTACAAGCGAGGATGAGATATGACTGTGATCGCTTAGCAAATGCTACACAAACATATATATTCAAACATCACACATTCACGCCGGCGTGCCACTGATCCCCTGTCTATACACATATTCTTGACTTCCACAGTCCCACCCCCACAAGCGAGGATGAGATGATCACTTTGATCTTTGAGTATGTCGATCGTATCATGAACATTGTGCGTCCCAAGCGCATACTGTACATGGCTGTCGATGGTGTGGCACCCCGAGCCAAGATGAACCAGCAACGTTCACGCCGTTTCCGTGCTGCCCAGGAGTCTGAGGAGAATAAGATCAAGAAAGAGGAAGAACGCAACCGACTGATTCGCGAAGGTGTGTTCTATTTGTAGCCGTTCTATATATGGCATAGTGCGGTCTCTGTGTGTAGCAAAGTGTGTCTGTATATGAACCCTTTTGTATCGAAGTTGGCTGTTGTAGTAGACTGTATATGCTATATAGGAGGGGAACTACATTAGAATGATTCTTTGGGGTGTTTCTCATGACGGCTGCATTTATACGCAGGTTATTTTTTCTTGTAGTCTCCGGCAGTTTTACCACCTAGTACCAGTTTTGAATATTGTATCTCTGCTCGTTGTATCTTTTCTAAACAGCGTACTTATACTGATATACTTATTTGGTCATCTCTATTTTGTTTTCTTTATCAGGTCTTACGCTGCCCCCGGAGAAGAAGAAGTTCGACTTTGATCGCAATTGCATTACGCCTGGTACTGAATTCATGGCGCATCTCAGTGAGTGCTTACGGTATTACATTCATGAGAGAGCGAGCACGCACCCCGCCTGGAAGGGTGTCAAGGTATGGTGTTTGCGTATGTATGTGCTATATATATAGTTGCATTGCACCTGGTACTGAATTTATGGCGCACTTTATTACACCTGCGATAGAGCACGCCCGTATGGAAGGGTGTGAAGGTATGGTGTATGCTTATGTATTTAATATATATGTATATATATGTGTGTGTCTGTGTGTGTGTATGTAAGTATGTATGTGTGTATGTATGTATGTATGTATATGTACGTATATTCATATGTTCTTATGTGTGTACATCTACTTTGAACCACAATTGTGTGAATATGGAATACTGGACGAATCAGCGTACCGGAGCAATATGATGTGTTTCCGTATCTATTAGAGAGTGATCGCCCATCCCGCCTGGATTGTTTACGAGATCTAGTGTATAAACCCGAAAGTGGTATTCTAGAAATGTACCTGCCAGCTTAAATACAGTCGTATATGTTGCCCAGTACCAAAGAGTCGTTATATCATCTTTTCACTGTCCTCAATTCTCTGATCACGCTTTTGGTTTATATTTATGTATCTATACATCTACATATATTTATATATCTATACATCTACCTATATATATATATATCTTTATAACTTTATATATATATATATCTATATATATATATAAATATATATATATATATATATATGTATATATATATATATATATTATATACATATGTATATATATGTATATACGTATACATGTTATGTTCATGTTCATGTTCATGTACACACACACACACATATATATATATATATATATATGCATATATATATATACATATATATATATATATGTATATATTGTGTTAGCGATTGCCTTCTCGCAGACCATCTACCTGGCAGTTTTTGGGTTTTTTCTAGGGAGGGGGTTTTTTTTTTGGCGAATACGAACACAAGATCAACGGCTACATCTGCAAGTATTGCGCGGAGCCCTGACTCGATCCCGACACCAGCACCGCACATACCCTGTAACTCATCACACATACCCGTACCACACATACAATCTCTCAGGTGGATGTATGCATAGCCCCTTACCCATATACACACATACATTTATACCCAGGTTATCCTCTCCGATGCTACCGTTCCCGGCGAGGGTGAGCACAAGATCATCGACTACATCCGCAAGCAACGAGCCAGGCCGTCGCACGACCCCAACACCATGCACTGTCTGTATGGTGCCGATGCGGATCTGATTTTCTTGGCCCTGGGCACGCACGAGCCTCACTTCCACGTGCTCAGAGAAGAGGTCCTCCCGATGAACCAGAAACCCTGCATGAAGTGTGGCAATATCGGGCACTTCCCTGACCAGTGTGAGGGCAAGATGCGCGACCCTAACCTACCCCCTATCTACATCAAGGCGACGTTCTTGTTTATCCGCATCAACGTATTGCGTGAGTACCTGGAGGACGAACTCTACGTCCCTGGCCTGCCTTTCGCGTTCGATGTCGAGCGTGCGTACGACGACTGGGTCTTCATGTGCTTCTTTGTGGGCAATGACTTTTTGCCGCACATGCCGTCGCTGGAAATCCGAGAGGGGGCGATCGACCTCCTGGTAGACATCTGGAAGAAGGCCTTGCCCAGGTTGGGGGGGTTCATCTCGGAGAATGGGACCGTGAACTGTCACCGGGTGCAGACCCTCTTCAAGGATCTTGGGGAACGAGAGGACGAGATCTTCAAGGTTTGTTGCGTTGGTTTCAATTTTCATTTTAAATCTGTACTCTTAAGGTGTGTAATGATATCTGGGGGATTCAAATCTATTTTTATTTCGAGTATCTGGTAAGTTTATGCTGTCAAGGTGACCCTAAACCGTAAACATTAGGCATGTTATATAGCAACTAAAGGTACCTAAACCCTGTGTTGGGTTGGGTTCAATTTTTATGCTAAATTTGTATTTCAAAGGTATGTATTGGGATTTGGGAGGCTCGTATTATCTGTTTTTATTTCAAGTATTTGTTTATTTTTGTAGGTGTGTGTTGGGTGATTTGTGTCTGTTTTGTCATTTGCCACTTTTTTTTCTTTTCTTTTTGGTGATTTGTACTGTCGAGTTATCGATTGTAAGCTACCACATGTTTCGGATGACTGTTGTGCAATCGGGTTGATTTGGTGATTGGTGAGTTTGAGGTCGCTTGTCTCCTAGTGAGTCTTCGCTGTATTTGAGGTCTGGTCTGATTTGCTTTGCGTTTGTTGCACACACAAAGAATTGTATTTAGAGTCGCAATATATTTGGCATTTCCCGATTTTAATTGTATGCACAAATTTTGGAATTCGGATCTCGCCAGCAACGAAAAGAGGAAGAAGACCGTAACCGTAACCGCCGCAATCAAAAGAAGGCGGATAAGAAACGCAAGAAATTGGCTGAGGGTGAACAATATATAGCGTTAGGTATGTTTACCAGTGTTAGCTTTGCCTATCTACACATCTGCATAATATTTATATATCTATCTATATCTATATCTATAACTATATCTATATCTATATCTATATCTATCGATATATATATATTTATCTTTATATATATATATATATAGATCGTATTCACATTCACATTCACATTTGTACGTATCGGCTGCACAAAAAATCATTTCGTACCCATTAGCATATTTCCGTGTTGCCTTGTTGCACTTTCAGTCAAGTGATTGATCATGTGGGCTGAAATCGTGTTTCCGTCTGGTGAAAGAGTATAATGTCAGTTGGTCTCACAGGATAAAACCAGAATGTACCCATGTGATGTGTGTATTGGTAGGCTAGAGCAGCATCTTTGACGTACTGGCTATTTTGTTGTCAGTATACCACATGCTTTGTTGGCAGCCAGAAATAGATCTGAATCGTTTGTAGGAGCTGTGATCATAAAATGCAGAGCGGCCATTATTTGCTTGCTGTCGGGTGGACTCTCGCGCAAATTGGCAAATTATGCCACCACCCCATACACGAGTACATAGTAGTACACATCTGATGAAGACGTTCTGTTTATCTTGTTTATAATCCATTTTTGGAACAGCGGAGGGATTCGAGGCCAAACCAGTAAATGCGCCCTCTGAGAACAAGGGACTGGTGAAGTCGGCTTTTGAAGCGATGAAAGAACGTGAACAGAGCAAACCCGAAAATGCCAATAAGGCGGCTGCGGCTGCGCTTAAGAAGTCACTCACGTAAGTTTGTATATATCTATACCTGTTCTTGTATCTGTATGTGTGTATGTATGTATGTATATGTATATGCGTATGTATAAATATGTGTGTGTATGTGTAAGCATATTTATATGTATATGTATATTTATATGTATATTTATTTATATATCTATATATCTATATATATATTGATAGTTCTTCGATTCTCTACAAATTGAGATTTTTGGTTCCATGGTAGCACCCCCTATATTTTTGTGCAAAAAGCTGGACAGTTCGAAAATAACTGTCGTTTATTGTAAAGATTGCTTCCAATTTATATCTAAATCGTTCCCATACCTGAATTTATCCTTGTATATCTCTCTACATACAGCGATGACCAATCCTCTGTCTCGACAGACAGCATCCGAGTCATTGACACAACCGTCCCTGGGGCGGACGAGAACCTTCCAACTGAGGGAACGAAGCGCAAGGCGCCAGACGATGACAGTGACGAGGGTGAACCAGAGGACAACGTCCGCATGCACGAACCCGGGTGGAAAGACCGTTACTATAGAAACAAGTTCCAGACCACGGCCGATGATATGGAGCATGTGAATGCGCTTTCGCAGAGCTTCATGGATGGCTTGTGTTGGGTGTTGAGTTATTACTTCTTGGGGTGTAAGTCGTGGACGTGGTATTTCCCGTACCATTACTCGCCTTTCGCATCGGATATCGCTCGGGCAACAATTAAGGTATTTTTTCAATATACTAGTGTGCGTTCCTTTGAATTTACATATATAGTTGTTCCAGTTGTTTACTCGTAGTTCTGTGTTGGGTGCTGGCTTGTGACTTCTGGGGGTGTAAATCGTGACATTTTCGGTGCTTTTACTCACCTTTCGCATCGGATATTACTTGTGCAACAATTAAGATATTTTCAAGTTGTGACACTGCTTTGATTCGAGCATGCGTCACAGTCAGGGTGCAGCCGTGTTTTCACATTGATTTTTGGTACGTGCTGTGTGTTGACTTTTCATTTCATGAGCTTCTGTTCGTGGCATTGGTACTTTCCGTACTAAGACTAGATGTTCGCATTAGATATTGCTCCAAAGTATTTTGATTCAAATGCGGTATCTTTTCTGCTTGATGGACCATTCCGAAAAACGAGTATCCGGTTTTATTTATGGGCCAATGGGTATCATAGACCCACGTATATCTCCAATAGCACATGACACTTGATAGTCAGTTTTGTTCATATATTCTGACGGTTATACAGCAGTTGGAACACGTTTACTTATACTTACACTTATATCTATATCGATATCGATATCTATATCTTATAAACTTGTATAACATTCAACACCTACTTACAGGAGCGGGTGGAATTCGAGCCCGGAAGCAAGCCCTTCAAGGCCCTCGAGCAGCTGATGGGTGTGTTACCCGCCTCCAGCGGTAAGCGTTTCCTGCCCGAAACATGGTCCAACCTCATGTGGAAGTCCGACTCTCCCATCTTGGACTTCTATCCCACAGATTTCAAGGTCGACATGAACGGCAAACGCTTCGAGTGGATGGGTGTGGTACTGCTACCCTTTATGGACGAAAGCAGGCTCAGAGAGGCGCTGAAAGACGTGTACGACACACTTAATGAGGACGAGATAAAACGCAACACTCTGGGCACGGATTATGTGATGTGTGGCGGTCGAAGCACGGCCTTTGATTCGTTCTGTAAAGTGTACGAGATCCCCGAAAACGACGTGACACTGCAAATTGTCCCAGCAGTGGCCCAGGGCATGACCGGGCTGATTGGCAAGGATCCCGAGGCTGTGCTGCCGGGGAGGTATGTATATTTTCCCATATTATTCGGGGGCATTTTCCTCGTGCTACATGTGTGTAGGATGGATGGATGTGTGTAGTAATGTATATATATATATATGTATTTTGTTAGGACCGATTCAATGTGAGATGTACGAAGTCGTGTAGACCGATGTATCGCTGAAGATTGATCAGAGGTTACGACCTGACAGATTGGTATGTCTCCCGAGTCTGTTCTAAGCGGGAGGTATACATATGTGTTTTTTTCAATTTTCTTAAGGTTGTGAACCTCGTTAATGTATGTACACAAAATACATGCCTAGTGACAATCGTGTCTGAGCGTTTACTGGGCTATTACTCTGCTTTTGTTCTCGTTTCCTTCTTGTTCGATCCGAGTTACGTATTGGTACACATGGACCTATACAAAAGCATGTGTCCTATTGTAAAATCATGTGCTGATGTGAATGATATCATACTTGACGATACCAGCACCCGCTTCTTAGTGAATGTACATTCACGCTGGGCTGCATAACCATAATTGTGTGCCGTTCCCCTTTAGCTCTACTGGCCTCCATCTGCGAACTTCACCATTGCTCATCTATTTCTAATTTTCTCTCCCCATCTCAGCGTGTACTACTCCCCTCTCACGGGCGAAGGTCTGCCGAACATCGAGTCTAACAACGCCATCAGCGTGACTTACGAGAACCCCAAGCTCGACAACCCAGACTATTCCATGTCACTCATCCTGCCTGGGGTCAACTTTCCCGAGAAAAAGACCGGGCCTTCCGATATAGAACTGGCGCGTTTAGGAGGGTCTCGAGCGGCACGTCGCGGCAGAGGACGTGGTCGTGGTCGCGGTGGTAGGGGAAGAGGTGGAGGAGATCGTGGAGGGTATGGTAACCATGGCAACCAGGGCGGTCGACAGAATCAGGTGGACTTCCATAAGATGGGCGGTGGTGGAAGGAACTTCCAGCAGGGTCCGGGCTACGAGGAACAAATGCAGCACACACATGTGGAAGTGCAGAGTATGTGTTTTATTCATATGCAGATGTATTGTTTGTTTTTATGTGACATCCCCCTAGATGATTTTGGTATAGATTGAGACGTAGGAATTGGGATATGCTATACTCACTGTATCATAAAATATCGTTGTAAGCTGTAGTAGTATCTCAAGGCTCTGGCTCTGAGGAACAGTGAACATGTACAAGTATGCGCTTACAAGTATATATTCTATTTCTAATTCTAGATTTTAATTTAGGTACAAGTATTTATGATGTACTTTGGAGTGATGCAGTTGTTTGTGATGTGACCAATTGGGACTAGGCTATGAGAAACAAGTGCTACATGCGTATGTAAAAGCGGAAAGTACGTGCGTCTGTAAATCAACCTATGACTAAGGCTTGAGTTCAGCTGAGGTGTGATTGCGAATTTTTGTAGGCTGTAATTGACTTATCAGGAAGGAGGCTATGAGGAGCACAAATAGCGTACTCACGTGAATGTACATTTTGTGTGTTAAATATCACTGCATACAAACAGTCGCAATGTACATATGCATCATTATACACGAATCTTAGGCACATGTGTACGTCAATTACAGTATGTAACTTTCCACTCATACTCGTAATCATTGACTGTAGATGCTTTCACGTCGGGCTATCAACGGCGCCCGGCCAACAACAACGGCAACTACCCGCCACGCGGGGGACATAACAATAGCACCTACGGTAGCCATAGTAGCCAGCAACAGGGCGGCAGGTATTCGTACAACCAGCCGACCGGAGGATATGTAGGTCACCACAGCAACCGGGGAGGACAGAGCTACCAGCAACCACGTGACGGATATAGTGGTGGTGGTGGTGGTTATAGCAACTCAAGGCACTCGGGTGGACAAGCAGGGGCAGGCTATAATCAAAGTATGGGTTATTCCGGAGGCCCTGGTGGGCGTGGGGGTCACCATTTTAATAATATGGGGTCTAATCGGCCGCAAAACCCAGAGCGAGGTGGCTACCGCAACAATTCTGATCAGAATGGTACACAACAGGGTGGGTACAGGTATCAGGGAGGAAGCGGTGGCCGTGGCAGCGGTGGTAGGAGGTATTGATAAGGAGTAGTGTAGTAAATATTAAACAGTTGATGTATTCTTCCAAGCTACAGAGACGGTCTGTTTTGGCATTGAACAATGTCTTTGATTTTTTCGGAGTGCTGCGTCTATCTTTTACAACAAGGGATATATATATATATATATGTGTGTGTGTGTAAATATATATATATATATATATATATTATATATACAATTTTATATATAAGTTGTATATGTATGTATGCATATATATGTATATCTATCTATATTATATATATATATATACGGATAGATATATGTTTGTGTGTGTGTGCATGTATATATATATCTCTATCTATAGCTATACCTATGGATAGAGATACGTACATATATAAATATATATATATATATCTGTATATATGTATATATTTATATCTATATATATATATATGTCTATTAATGTATATATCAGCATATACTTACATATGCTTACATATACATATAAATATACATTTGAATGTGTGACCATATATATGTGTGTGTATCACAATGCCCAACACAGACATATGTAACTTTATATTTATTTAATATTTATTATGTATGTATGTATATATGTTTGTGTATAGATATATCCATATATAGTCTTATAGTTATATATATTTATATACATATACTTTTATATATATAGATATATATCTATATATCTA